CAACTGAGATATTTCACTCAGCATAATGTCCTCCAGGGTCACCCATTCTGAATAATATTGCATGAGTTCCTTGTTTTTCAATGCAGCGTAGTATTCCATTGTGTGAATGTACCAGAGCTTCTCTATCCATTCGTTTGTTGATGGGCACCTGGGTTGTTTCCAACTCCTTGCTATTGTGAGCAAAGCTGTGATAAACATAAGATTTTTGTTTTACAAAACGGAGCAGGTCCTACTGTGGTATTCTGAAAGTGGTCCCTACCCTACGGAGTCCCACATACAGGTTTCCAGGAGGCTGTTCTGTTTCTAGGCTTTCTCACAACTCTCCCTGGGAAAGCAAAAAGAGAACACCAAACTAACACTGCCTAGAGGTGAACACTGCCACCAGGATTATTGAGGACAGACACCCACACGAGATTCAAGTTTAGAGGCTCGTGTGAAGCAGTTGGTTTCTGATGGGTCCATTTTCTTGTTTTAGTTGAAAGTCGGGTATAAACTGTTCGGTGATTTTTACTTTGTTCACAATCCTGTGTGAGCAGACTGGATTTACTGGATTTAGCTAACAAGCAGCTACGGGCTGGAAGCCTCTTGTTTAAGTCAATCAGGGACTGGCCTGTGGGCCTTTGTATTTAAAAGTAGGTTGGGCCCTAACTAAGCCTTCAGTTTGGAGGCTCATGTGTGAAGCAGTTGGATTCTGGTCAGTAGGATCTCTTGTTTTAGTGGAAAGTCTGCAACACTGGGCTTGGTGTGCATTGTGTTTGGGAGGAACATTCTCCTAAGTGGTACAGCACTGGTCTGTCGGTTTGCTGTACTGAGGTAACTTGGGTTTGCTGTGATGCTGAATTACTGTGCTACTGGTATGTCAAATGCCATAATCATTACACTTGGTGGACAGTGTTTCATGGAGCTCCCAGATTAAAAAAAGCTTGGAAGCAAGATAGGCAGCCACTTCCTAAACAACATGCTCTTAGACATTTTATTAACATTAGAGAATGAAGATATAGAACAGGGTTCAGATCTCTTGTTCACAGGGTCGCTATGGGTTGTGCTCATTTAACAACAATGAGAACAAAGTGTGGTATTCATCCAGGGATAAAGCTCAGAAGACAGGAAGCAAGAGTAAAAGATAGATGGAAACAAGAAACATGGAGGAAGTGGGAAGAATGTGGTCACAATGTGAGGACTGCAATCAAGTCAAGATAAAATAGGCATAAATTGTTGAATGGAAAACAAATTTGCTCTTTACTCTTTTGCCCAAATAACAATAAAGAGGTTTTTAAGAAGCTGCAAAGACTCAGGCACAAGAAGAGAGAAGCACAGCGGGGTTGCAGCCATCCGGCTGGCAGGCACACTTACTGAATGAACTGCAGGCCCTTCTCGATGTCCGCCTTCCGTTTCTGCCTCTCCATCAGTCTCTGGGGGAGAGAACACAGCTTGTCAGTCTGTGGGAGCCAGGTCATCGTTCACCCCACCTCATGCACTTCTACTTCACAGGCAAGGGGCTCTGAGGACAGTGAACCTGCTCAGTGTCCACAGGGGCTGGAACTAGGTCACTTTTGTGCCCACCTTCACACACACCTTTTAGGGAGAGTCCAGCTAGTCCTTTTCCACAGGTGGCCTGAGTTAAGATATTACACAGGACACCTTCAAAATCAAGGGGAAACTGCTCCAGATTAACCCAACAATCCGATCAAAAAGAGGCTCAGAAAATGCACAGTGGCAGTCGCATCCGCCATGGACCCCCCAGGCTGGCACTCTGAGGAGGACTGTCAGGATGAGGATCACTGGGATTCCTTCAACATGCCTCGGGACAGGTGTTGGTTTTATCCCCACTTTACTAATGAGCAAACTGAGGCTCAGGTAGCCTCATCCTGCACCTGGTGTGCAGCTTAGGCAGGATTCCAACCCAGGGCACTGCTCCTCTGATGTCCACCGGCTATCCCAAAACACAGGTGGACACACAACCAGAAGTAGGAGCATCCTTTGGACAAGAACAGGGCTACATAGAACTCATGTACCAGCTCACAATAGGGAAATCTGCTGTTAGGAACTTCTCCAAAGTGCTGAACAGCAACAATATGATCGGTTTAGAGACTAAGTCTAGAGACTAAGGCCATGGGTTTTGTAATTACTTGCTATGCATCAGAGAGTGGACAATGACTAAGAACAATGACAACAGAAGAATTGATGCCTTGGAATCGTAGTGCTGGAAAAAGAGTATTGAACATACATACCATGGACTGCCAAAAGAACTAACAGGTCTGTCCTGGAAAGGGTGAAACCAAGCTGTTTATTGGAGGCAAGGATTCTGAAGCTCTGTCGCACACACTCTGAGCACATGGCCGGGATGAATCAGTCCTTGGAGAAGGACATAATGCTTAGAAGAGCAGAGTGACAGCACAGGAGAGGAAGATGCAGGTAAGACGGACTGACGTAATATCTAGGATAATGGGGGTATGTGTGTCAGAGACACTGAGACTGGCTCAGGATAGGATGGGGTTCCAAGTTATTGTACACAGGGGTCACTAAAAGTCACAGGCAACTTGATGGCATACAACAACCACCAGCTCACTAAGGCTGTGAGAGGTTACTGCCACGTACGGATGAGGAAGCCTGAGGCTGAGGAGGCAAAGTGGCTGGCCAAGAGTGCAAAGCAAGGGAAAAGGACAGGGTGTGGGACACCTGATCAAGACAAAAAGAGAGAAAACGAAGGTGGGAACTTTGGGGAGGGAGCTTAGAGTTCAGCCCACCTGCCTTCCCTCTCCTTCACCACATGCAGTCAGTAATCTGCTGTAGACCAGCTGGTGGTGGGGAGCTTTACCCAGGGCTGGGAGCCAAGCTGAGGGCCCCCATGTCCCCACTGCCAAGCCAGGAGGTGGCCAGAGCTGCCCAGTTGGGTGCTCTTTTGGCCAGGGTCCTCACTTTTCCTATCACATGATTACCGTGTGCGGACTGACCACCTACCTTTCCCCACTGCAGTTCTGCACCTCTGTCCCCAGAGAAGACAGGGCACCATACCAATACAGCACAGGAAATGCATTCTCTCAACGAAGCTGCTCTTCCGCTCCCCCAAAAAGCCAGAGCTATGGAGTGAGTTCCACCTCACAGTAACCCCCCAGGACAGAGAACTGCCCAGAGGACACTCTTCTCAGAAGCGGACTCTCATTTTCTGCCTGTGGACTGGTGATTTTAAACCACAGACCTTTCTGTTGGCTGACCAATGTTCAGTCCACTGTACCACAAAGCTCCTTTCTCAGTTGGTAACAAGATGTAAAAAGGTGCAATGTCCAGCTACTTTGGGGAGCAAACATGTGAAAACACCATCTTCCAATTGTTTCCACTGCACTCAGTCACCAGCCCCCACAACCCCATATGATCAGCAGGGCAAGGATCTCTAACCTCAGTTACAGATGAGGAAAGTGAGGCATAAAGGGAAGGATCTTTCTGAGGTCACTCGCCTAATGATCGGTGGTAGTGACCTGGCTGTCAAAGGCAAGGCTAATCTGAGCCATGACAAACTGTGGCTCCAGGCATGCCACTCAGCCTCCTGGTGCTTCCCTTCCTTGGAGAAGGACATAGGGCTGGGAAGGGTGCAGGGTCAGGAAAGGAGAAGACCCTCAACCAGCTGGACTGACACAGTGACTGCTGCAATGGGGAAGTGTGAGGACAGTGCAGGACAGGACAGGGTTCAGACCTTTTGTTCATCCGGTCACTACAAGTCGTACTTGAAGCAACGGCACCTAATAACAAAAAACCCTGTAAGCTAATGATGCCCACCCGGCAGGTGCCTGGGGGGCTTCAAGGAGGCAGGTGATGTGGAGCAAGGAGCTCACTGAACCCCTCCCACTTGTCCTTCCCATGAGGGGAGGAGCCACAGCCAAGTCTCCAGAGCCCGCAGACCAGTATTTGACTGTCCAGGTCATGCTGCCCAGGACAAGGGGGGGCTGAGCTACAAGAACGTCCAGCTTTCCCAAGGCACCACTGCTGATGACTGCTGGCCTCAGACCATAGGGAGGAGTGGTAGGCAGATGGTCACCAGAGCACATCTCATCAGTCCTCAGCCAAGAGGTAAATTCGACCTGGCGCCCCATCCATCCTTCCTCTGCCCACCTCTGCCCACCTCTGCCCTAACCATTCAGATCACCAGGACGCCCAGGTGTGTGGATGCCAGAGCTGACCCCGACAGCCTGCAGGTGACCTGTCTGGATTCAGGAACCACTTACAGGAAAACCAAACTGAATGCATTGCTGTCAAGTAGATCTTGACTCACAGCAATCCTCTAGGGTTTAAGCAGGCTGACTGCCACAACTCTCCCATGGAGCAACTGGTGGATTCAAATCGCTGGCTTTTTGTTAGTAGTCAAGCACTTAATTACTGCACCACCTGGCCACTTCTTTAAGATGTGACCAGGAGTCACTTCTACAGGCCTGTAAGTTCTGGGCCTCTCGATTCAGACCCAAGTTCAAATCCTGACATTCACATTACTGTGACTTTGGTCGAGCCCTTTAGTCACTCTGGCCTCAGTTTCCATATGGGGACAAGGCAGAACCTGCCCCACAGGGCTGGGAGATGCCACAGCAAAGCGCCTGGTGCTGGACAGTGACCAGCAGGGTGGCAACACCTGTCAACACCTCTCTCTGCAAAATAATCAGATGCCCTGGAAGCTTCCTAATGCAGGAGAAAGAATTTCCCCTTTTGTTCCTCGCCGAGTCTCTGCTCCTCTGGCTATCAGACCTCCTCACTGCCCACCTGGGTCCAGCCAGCGCAGACCCAGTGGATTCCCCGCCTCTGGGCCTTTGCTCTTGCTGACGTTTCTTCTATCTGTGTCCAAGGACACAATCTCCTCCTTTCTAAAGCTCGACTGTTCCATGAGGCCTCCCTCATCCCTTCATGGGACCCAGCTCCATCCACCTGGGGTCTCTCAGATGGGCACGGCCCACCTTTGCCCTGAGGATGTGTTAGTTGGATGGAGGGGGTTACCCAGTCCCCACAAGTGTGCCCAGCACTGCAGGGGAAGCTGTGCAGGGAAGAGACCCTAGCACACCTGTACCACAGGGTCACAGCACAGGCCCCTTCCCACCTCCAGCCTTGTGGCCAGCCCCTGCCCTGTGGGACCAGTCACCTCATTGTCCAAAGCACCACATCCTTGAGGCTTTCACAGAGATCTTCCAAAAAAGCTACAGGATCAGGCCCTCCTCTCCATCCCACCCTACCCTGAGCTCTAGACAGCAATCTACCCTCAGGTGACCAAAACTTCCCACACCAGCTCAGCTCCCTGGCTTCCCGCTGCCTGAAGGCCACAGTCCCATTGCCCTCCAAAGCCCGGCTGCCCCAAAACTTTCCCAGAAGACCCCAACAGTCAGAGAGGAACATGCTGGCCCCATCTTGTCAGCACTGACAGGACAGCATGCCTCCAGACTAGATCACACCCCAGAGAAAGGGGATGATTTGAACACACACTTTGGGGGGATTCTAACATGCACTTTGGGGAACACAATTCAATCCCAAATTGGCCGCTCTATCTCTGGCTTTGCCCTAAAGTTATCGCTGTTGGGTCACTGAGTCCATTACGACACGGAGCCACCATGTACCACGGGGCACTGCCCAGTCCTGGCCATGCTCACAATCACTATGCCTGAACGTGGGGCTGCAGCAGCTGGGACGTCCATTCACTGCAGGCCTTCCTCCTCTCTTCCTCTGCCTCTCTACTTTGCCAGCATGGTGTCCTTCTGCAGGGACCGCCTGATGACGTGTCCACGTACATGAGATGAAGCCTCGCCACCTTTGCTTCCAAGGAGCACTGAGAAGTCATTCCGAAGACTAAAGGGCACCTGACCCAATGTATTTTCAGTCACCTTACATACCTGGGGAAACTGGGCAAAGAATAAGGGAGACTGAAGAACTGATGCCTCTGGACTATGGTGCTGGCAAGAATGGTGAGTATTCTATGCCCTGCCAGAAGAGTGAGCAAATCTGGGTCTCAGGAGCAGCACAGCCAGAGGAAAGTCAATCAAATTTGTTTACTTCTCTCTACAAACCTGTCAGGCACGGAACACATGCTTCAGGAGGCTAGGAGAGGTGTTCAGAGGGACACGGTGCGAGAGCATGGAGCCAGGGTCACAGGTCAGGGCAGACAGGCCTCAGGAGCCTGAGGACAAAGTGGGGGCTTCATTCTTCCTGGCTGGAGGCTATGCCACATCCAAGACTCAGCTCCCTGTCCTCTCCTCAATCTCCCTGCTCCAGGAAGAGGATTTTCATAGGTTTTAATTTATCTGTTTTCACTTAAAAAAGGACATGAACTCAAAGACATAGAGTAAGTGAGCCTGATGGGATTCCGTCTATCAGCCATGCAGACTGAGGGTACAAGCAGTTGAGGGCCAAGGAGCTTGTAGGTCAGAGAAACGTCCAGAATCAGATG